TGTCTAGTATATGTTTGTATGTATGCATCTATTTTGCAAGTGCACAAAAATACGCTGAGAAAAAGCATAACGGCTTGATGGAGTTACTTTTGCCCACATATTATTTATTTAATAAAGCATACAAAATATATTTTGTATATGGTAAAGAGAGAAAGCGAAATTGCATGCCATTGCCTAATACAAGGCCAGTACTAGAGAAGGCAATAAGATAGCAGAATGTGGGCGAAGAGTGTTTTGGATTTATTCTTCTTTCAAGATACATTCCTCAGATATGTCTTGAAAATTACTAACTATTTAGGCCATAGCAGACTTGGCCACGACAGTCGGGTTTACGTAACCGGAACGACCCAGATTTATATCTGGCCAAGGACTGTCACTCCAGCAACACCCCCCAAAAACTCTTTGGGGAATTTGTATGCTGTTACAACAACAACAACAGAAACAGCTGAAATCATTATTTTTTCCCCTGGGATCTGGTTTTAAATCAATAATAATCTGATGGTGATTAAGCGGAACTATAGGAAACGTGTTTTTATGTTTTTCTTAAAAGTGTTCGTATTATTCTGAGTCAAAAACACATAGCTGTCATATTTCCAGAGGACTATAAAATTATGTAGGTGCTGCACTTTTCTTATGCCGCTGCATAGATTCCTGCTTCGAACCATGTTCTTAAAAATTAACACAATTTTCATCTACGGTAGCTATCCGGATCCGCTATACAGATTCAAAAACACGAGTTTAGACTTTCTATTGCTTCTGGAGTAGTGAGATTCTTGGCACCCATTTTACGCTGACCTGAGATAAAACAAAATGATCATGAACTTAATCAAAATTTGGAAGATGATAAAGAAATACGAAATAATATAAATATGACTCTTTTGAAAGAGTCTATATTTTTACAGTGTACTTACGTACATATGTATGAATATATATAAGTATATTTACATAGTAAATTTCACTGCATTTAAAAGCGTGTTGACATTGACATGCTGTTAATATAAAATTGCAGTACACAATTTTCAGAGAAGGGATTATACTAGAACAGAGAGCTTACCATAAAAATTATACAATTAACAGCATTTCATAGAAAGGTCCTAACTAATTTCTTTTGAAATTCGGTTCTGCACAAAAGTCGGTTGATTACTCACTAAAAAATTAATGGAATTTAAAATCAACTACTGTATGAACAAAATAGTTTGTGTGCTTATTAAAAGTACCCAGTACGGCATAGCTCAACTAATTACCTCAGAAAAATTAATTTATTTCTGCTTGCAGCCTCCTTGAGATAAACCAAATGCTTACACTTTTGATACCTTTGCAAATACATACTTGAATATTAGTTGAAAAATCACCTAACTTTGGGCAATTAACTATTTCAGCATTTAGTACTAAGCAATTTTAAATTGGTTGAAAAGACGTCTTCAAAAGAAACATACTGACTTTGAAGTGTTTTAAGCAAATGCATTTTAAAGTAGTTGAAATTAAATACGGAGTCGGATGAATGGCTTGTTGCTTGTACACAATTAAACTGAACATTTGAAAGCATATTTAAATATCTGGCTGTAGCTGAGCGTGCAGAGATGCCTGCTGTTACTTGTTAGCTTCCAGAAGGTCCGGGTTCGAATCCCAAGAGAGACAACATGTGAAAATGATGATAATATTTCTTTTGTATCTTCGAAATATGAAAAAGCATCTGTGAAGTGCAGAACGAAAGCGTATTCAAACGCAACATACTGACTTTGAAGTGCTTTAAGCCAAATGCATTTTAAAGTAGTTGAAATCAAATACAGAGTAGGATAATTGACTGCTTCCTAGGACATCGCCATGTTAAAGTAAACACTTCGTTCCAAGGAAGAAAATCAGATCTTCAATTAGTTTTGGTGGATAAAAAACTGTTTGAACATCAAGATATAAACTAGTTTCTTTCCGTACTGGGCGGTGTAATAAAAAAATTCCAACCAAAGAACTTTAGTTTTTATAAAGTTATATTACTGCTCTCTTAAGAAACAAAAATGTTAGAAAGGGCCTTTCTAGCCGTATTTATTAAAAAGGTTTTTTGAATAGTTTTTTGCTGATCTTAGCTACTTTTCATTATTGATACCTTGCTTCAAAAATGTTAAAAATTTGGTGACATCACTCGGCTAGCTAGTTCTGGCAGGGTACATTCATAATAATTAAATTAAGTTTTGCTGGCATTTTTACGGTACTGAATTATGAACGAGCACGTGGTATAGCGTATTTGCATATTACTTCGCTTAAATTATTGGAATATTTAGAGAAAATGCGTATGTATGAAACTGACCTAGGGGTGAAAAATTAGTTCTTCAAAGTATGCAGGGGCATATTTCCACATGTACATATGTATGTATGTATGTATGTACATATTCAGTTATGTGAGCATTGTTAATCACCGAAAAAATACTTTAGAGTTTATATTATAGGCTAACTAGAGCTACATATGTATATACGTATATGTATATTTATGAATTTTGTAAGCTTTCAAATCATACAAACTAAATTGACCCCCCATAGCTTGTCATGCATATACACATGTTTTGTGTTATATTTCTAAAAACTATTTTAGATTTGCAATTTTTATTTACAATTACACAACTGACCGAAATAATTGCAATTTATTTAGGACGATGAGTAACTCAATTTCTATTAAAAGGAAGCTGCAATTAGGCAGTGCATGCACTTATGCACATATATGTACATATATACACACAAACAATTGAAAATGAATCAATGCGAAAATTTCGCAATTGGAAAAACGAATGGAAATTTTTCATATACATACATACACACATGTAAGTACATACATACATTACATATGCAAATTTTCCTTCGTCCTTTCGAAAATTCAACCATAATGGGTATTGTACTTGTATTTTTCAGCAGGTGCTGAAACAGATATAAAAAATTTGACTTGATTTCCAATAACAAGGCGTTAAATTTGTGAGAAATAAATAACGGGAACACCATCTTAGACGTAGAACCTCCCCACCTAGGCGCAGAAAGAAGGCATCTCTCTGAGCTGAAGTGCTAGAAACAGGATACCATGCGTCAACCACTGGACCCCACGTTGTGCCAGCATTCAATTAACGACATTCAACGGGAGACTATCATCACTTTTACCAGCTCTCATCCAGTGAATACCATCATCAACCACTATCCATTGAGGGGAGAGCATTAGTGTACATAAATGGTTATATCAGTGAAAAAATTGCTTTCGTTTTATATAAGCTGACTCGGACATGTCAGGCATCTGCTGATGAAATCCAATGCTGTATTTCCACTGGGCATTAAATGAAAAAAAAAATTCATGACTTATGCCGAGTTTCCACTAGGCATTGAAATGCAACAAATGTTTGCCATTTAAAAAAATGTCATGTGGAAATGAGCTTAATGACTATTTTTTTTAACGTAATGACACGATTATTTTTTAATGCCTTACTCTGTCATTTGTGTTTTTTTGCCATTTAATGCCTAGTGGAAATCCATTATATCGAATTTCCACTAGACATTTGAATGACGAAAAGGTTTTGCCATTTAATTCATTTAATGTCGAATACGGAAATATGGCATAAGTTGGGTATTAAAAAAAATACGTCATTACTTTTATAAAAATAGTCATTAAGTTTGTTTCCATGTGCGATTTTTTAAATCGCACAAATTTTTTGTAATTTCAATGCCTAGTGGAAATCTGTCATAAGACTTTATGTGAACGATATTCACCGTTCGATGAAAATCGTAATTGTGGTTCAATCCACACCCAGCTTCGGTTGGTTTGTTGGACTCGCTTTACACTGCCAGTTTTATCCTACCCAAAATTGTCACAGACACGACTGAACATCTACTATACGCATACTTCCAGGTAAAGGAACTTGACTTCGTCATCCAAAATCTAATTGAGATTGATGACAACCAGTAATCAAAAAACGGGCTAATTGTGGAAAATTTTACTTTTTTCTTTCTAAGGAATGCAGTCAATCTCAATTAAGTTCCCAAGCATTGCGAATTGCGTTAAATCAAAGAACCGTTCATTTTTCCCAAAACCTTTGGGGAATTGAAATAACATCCTCCCAATATGCATACACATACAGATAAAAAGGATAAGGAATAAAGCACTTGACGCTGTGAGAAAATCAAACGACTATTTTAATATTTGCCTGCCGATTGTTTTTCTCACATTTTTCCCCATTTTCCCACGCCTGCAAACAAATGCTAAAAGCCTAGCCATTACAGCGGACATTGTACTACGGCATGTGAAAGAATCCTGCGGGACGCTCTCACAGTCAAACGTACACACAAGACGCAAGGCAAACGTATGCTTGTATGTGTTATTGCACAGGAGCATGGGAAAATGTAGAAAATGTGAATGAACTCACAAACGTGATTATCAGCATGCGCTCCCGGCACTCTAGCCATAGGGCGACCACCACCGCACATGCATACAATGCTGCTGGGCAGGATAATTGTATGTACATGTGTATTGTATGTATGTAGTTGCAGTTTGTGAAGAGTGAGAGCCAACGAGATGAGTGGATGAGTCTCGCACATTGAATGCCATGGAAGTCAGGCCATCTTTTTTAGTGTTGCGCAGTGAGTATCTAGTATCCTGCAATCGGATGCTTTGCCGTTGTCCTAGTGTTTATTGTTGTTTTTCTATTACTCGTACTATTGCTACTACTAGTAGTATTGTATATTTCATGCGTACTCGAAACTTCCGTTCCACCAGCAACAACAATGCAAGGCGATAAAAGCGAGTTCCGTTCGGTGAGTGAAATGCAACTCAGCGACGAGTTTGTTGAAAAGGACGAGAAGGATATGTATGAAGAATGAGTGCATCAAAAGCATAACGATATGACGAACTAAGCCGAGCGATTTCTAAATATTTCATAACTTCCTCATTTTTAGCTTCCAGCGGGTATGAGTCAAAGAACTTTGTTGGAAGTGTAGCATAATTGTAGACATCAAAAAAAAAAAATAGAACTTACCATTTTGTTGATGTATGTATGTATGTAGATATGATGAAGAATTGAAGAATGATTTTAGAAAAGCTCGTAAAATGCAGTCTGCAGCTGGTTAAAATAATGTGGGCGTGTATTATATATATTTTTTTTTTGCCAATACTTTTTAATTAGTTGACACTCACTAAACGTTTTATGTTTTTTTTTAAGTGCGTAAATACAATTCTGAGACGCAAAACTGGGTTTTTGGTAAACAATCTTTAGAGCCGCGAATCTTTATATGAACGTACTACATAAGTTTGTTATTTTATGATTTTTTTAAATGTTTCGGTACTTTTCAACGTTCGATAGCGAAGTTTTAACAAAAAATACACTCGTTTTTTTGTATTATACGCTGTTATTTGCACTCATTTTCGTTTGTTCACTTATCTGTCGACACAGCGAAACCCTTTCCGATTATTTCACTGATAAACAGTCGTTAAATATACCGTTTACTAATTAATAGAACGTTTTTTATGTTTACTGTTTCTATTGCAAAATAGAAAAAGTCACTTAATTTCACGGCGTTCCGCAACCTTTGCTAGTTGCAACCTGCTGGCCTCAACATCCAATCGTATCTATGCCGCTTTTAGTAGGTTTTGTAGTTTTTATTATACATGTGTTCTTATTTGAATGGGTTTGAGCAGCCGACTAGAACGTATGTACATGCGTATATATAAATATATATACATACATATGTACCTGTATGCATATGTACATATATCAGATATTAAGTAACAAAAATCAGAGGGGTGGTTGTGTCATTGGTAATAGTATGGAGTGGCAAAAGTGGCGATTTTAGAGATGGTGGCTCACTGCCTACAATTGAGTATTCATGATGAGCGCATTTAAATGTGCGAACTATAAACTATTTTACTTATATAATGTATGTATGGATGGATGTATGTTTGCTATGTACCTCCAATTAGTATACATTTTGAATTTGCATTAAACGAGAGCAGTCCAGAGCTTTTTCGCTTTGCACGCGTGCCGGTTCGCTGATTCTTGTTTTTATTTATTTCGAAATTCACTGCTGTACTGTCTTTTACACCCAAAGAATGTACCCACTTTCTCATCTACGAACATTGGCAATTTTCTTTTTTTGTCAGTTCTCATTTCCGAGGGAAACTAGAATTGCCAATAGGCACACAATCATTATTGCGTTGCCCAAATAAATTTTCTTTATATTTTGCAACTTATTATAAGAAAGAACTTCATTATTTTTAAGGATTTTCCCACTATAAATAAAAAGAAGTACCGCTTATAAAAGTGCCGGAGTATTTATTACACCGTGCGACAAAAACAAAAAAATTCGAAACACGAAGTAATCAATATACATACGAAACTGTGGGCCAAATATAGTAAAACTGCGCTTTTAGTTTTTCATTCTGACATCAAGATGTTTTTTATAAGGACTTTGTAGTATCAAAGATATGATTAATTTCAAAAATTATTTCAAAAATTCAGTGCAATATAGAATAAAAATATGGGTACGAAATGGAAGAGAATGTTCTGCTAAATTAAAAAATAAAATTTTTTGGTTAGCAAGGGTGAATAGGTATTAGTTAGAAGGATGAATTTCGAAGATATAGTCATAATTTTTTCAAAAATATCTATCACAAAAATTCCAGGATATTCAAGGATACCAACAAAAATTTTAACCTGCTTTAATTCTACAGAATTTTTTCTTTAATTTGATACCCATACCGGGGTTCTACATTGCACTGAACTTTTTTTACCTTCCTTTTATTAGCTCGGGATGTAACTATGTAATATTGATGCGCCTAAAAGATGCAGCAATTTCTATTCTCAACTTACATACATAGGTGATGACAGTACGAATGGCAATTATAATAGGGAGGTTTTAGTTTTTTAAACTATAATTTAATTATTTTTAATTTGTCTGAAGAAATCATATTTTTCAAACTTCAAAGTTCTTTTCAAACTTCAATGTACTTTAAAAAAATCCTAACATCAGAGAGAAAAACTATAAATGCGAATATACCTATTGATTTTTTTGTGTGTAAAATTTACTGTCGCACGGTGTTACAAGTACTTTCTATGCTGTTTAAATTGATCTCCCTAGGCTCTACACATGAAATGTGTAAGAGCTCAGGTACATATTTACCTCGTCTGCAAATGTCAGTTATAGGAGTTAAAAATCAGATGCTGGTGAAGCTGATGCCACAGACAGCTGTTGTTCCCTTACTAGAAGAGGAACTTTACAGGTATGAGGAATATAATTTTGTGTGAGGTTGGAAGGGCAAGATTTTTTGGAAGTAACGAAAACGCCATTAGTCGGGTCTGCGTAACCGGAACGACCCAGATTCGTATCTCTTCGAAGACTGCCCTCAAGCATATTTTCCCAAAAAAAATTTCGGAGATATGTATGCTGATACAGCATCAACAACATTCATGCTTACAGGACAATCCAAACTCAGAAGCCATCTACATAAGTTACAGATGCTGTTAAATGATCATTATCACTTTAGCAACTCAGCTAACGAGACACGATTGCACCTATTCCCTGAAAGAGTATAGGCTCATTATGGCCAAAGTCTGGGTAAATGTGTCAGATGAGAAATGTCAATAAACCGCAAGTTTTGTTGCAACAACAAGTACAATAAAAATATTTATAGCTTTTTTAGATGAAAAAATATTTACAATTTTGTGCGATCTTTTAATTGTCGTCAAATACGTGAAATCAATTAATCGGTCGTCAGTTTAGACTATGAAATAAACTTTTTATAAAATAAATATGTATGTATGTAAGTAACCCAGAAAAGAATTTAGATGGGCCTTCTTAAAGTCATTTTAAAAGGCCTACCCAAGAAGTGCTGAAAAGGGGGCTTCCTAGCATGCCTTCTATTTACAATTGACACGAATGTGTTAGTTATATTGTTATGCATTATTTGATAATATCATATTATGAACCTTAAATAAATACCTCAAAGGAGTATGATAGTTATGAATTAAGGAAGCAGCTTTATAAAAACTACTCTAAAAGGCCTTCTGAAATACGTCCTACAAAATACCTTCTAGAAGTCCTTTTATTTGTAGTGAAAGCAGAAAGTCTTCAAGTGTCACTACATACAAAAAAGAAAGGAATGCAGATTGGAAGGCCTCTTGACTCTCAAGAAGGCGTTTCGGAAGAGCTTTTAGCTCCTGAAATGACCTCCTGTATGTATGCATGTAAGTATTTCCATATATTAGAACTATTATCTAGCGCCTACCTTATTTGTTACGATTTCCCAATTTGATTGATCGGTGTTTCCAAATTCTTTTTATTAATATTTTCTGTCAGAAGTCTTATCTTTAAATGCCTTTCAATTAATTCTGCGGGACAGTCAATATAATCTATCCCGAAAATATTAATCGCGGGTAGATACGTTTTTTGCAAGTTCTCCAATTTTTCTTTTCTTTCAATTTTATTGCAATCCTTTGAAAATTCCAATGCACCTCGGGGGGTCAGTGGCACCCAGTTATCACGTGAACTAATTGGATTCCACAGCACAACTTCACCAACAACTTCACAATAAAGGCCAATTTTTAATTCCACATCCCAAGTGACAAATTTGAAAAGCCGTAAACATGCTGAGCCCTCAGGCAAGGTATACTTCCTGTGGATTATAAAAAATATAGAAGTAAAGCTAATTTAGCAGAGCAAAATTTATTAAAAACCTTGGTAAATATGGCAGTTTAATGTTTTCCAATATAAGGTATCCGTCCTGGTGGTGGCTCAGCTTGCCGATTACTGTGCAACGTCCTTGATGAAGTCGTGAAAAGTTTCGTTCCAGCGCCAGTTCCTCCACCAAAAGAAACTTGTTATAAAAGCAGTATTCAGGTAATTCTAAAATGTCAGCTGTTTCACTTAATTCACTTTTCTCCCCTTCATAACCATCAAGCATTATAATTAATAATTCCACGCATTCATTTAGTAAAGTTCTCCTAAAATTTATATTTTACAAACAGAAATAAATAACACCAAATGCCATAAACAGAGATTGCAGCGATTAATCATTTGATTAAATTAATCGATTATTTTCGTTCAATTTAAGATTAGGGTGTGTATCATGAACAAACGACTCAAGATTTTAGTCAAGAGATTTGACCAAGCAAGAAAAAAGCTGAGAATAGTTGCAACTAGGAAAATACATAAGAACTGTTAACCTGGCATCGTAAGGGCTAAACGAAAGTTCCTGGCCAGAAAAGGAACCTGTGATAAGGAAGTTGTAGCATGCGTCATCACGCAAGCGAGAAAACGGCCGGTTACAAAAACAATGGCTTCTCGTATGTAAAACTGTCATAGCTAAACAAAAGCGCAAAATGCAGAAATAACACCAACAAAAGGCATGGGATTTTTTGTGTGATATACGAAAATTACAGTTTCGGCGTTTTCTTCACTTCCTAATGCCCTGTCAAAATCGGATTTTCCAAACGCTGAGCATTGGCGCCGCGTTATTTCGGTATGTTTCATACAAATTGTATGGCAAGAGAAATTTTTGACAGCCTGACAACGCTGACGCTTTTGTTTAGGTATGGCATAAAGTGTTGGTTTAGACTTATCGATTTATCGAGGTTGCCATGTTATACTGTGTTCACAGGAGTTGGCCTCGCAAATGGGGATAATCGACTTATATGTAAATCTAGTATATGCCCATTGTAAAAGCTACAAAACTAAGGCTTTCTGCACATTGGTCGTCCCATCATAGTTGCTTTGTTGTCACAATCATGATGCAACGATTACATGACAACTACACTTTCACACACTAGGTCGTGGTATTTCAATATATTTGGGGTCTACAAATTCGCTTAGAGCAGGTATTTTCTGTTACAAATCCTGCAACTTTATAATTATGAACTTTTCATTTACCTCTCTTCTTTTCTTTTCCTGGATGTGTTTTGTCCACGCAAGCAAAATACTTTTAACAGTTTCGTCATATTTTATTGTTCAAACTCCCACATTTATTTTGAATTGTATTGCAATTATCCACTTTTTAATAATTTCCACATATTTAATGCAAGAAAGTAACGCAAATATTAACTTTTCACTAATTTTTCACCATAAAATGTAAGCAAGTAATTCATGCATAACGCTTAGCAAACGACAGTGTCGTACTTATCCTAGGGATGTCGGAAAATATGGATGCATCGAAAATATCGATGGTTTGCTTAGATGCATCGAAAATTTTCCACTCGATGTATAAATAGTCGATTTATCGATGTTTTTTGAAGACTGACATCTTCGGTTCATTGAAGCGTTATTCCAGTTTTTCAATTGTTCAAAAAAGAGAAGTGACTTTACCAAAAAATTTAAATGGCTGCAAGAAGTTCCGCTAAAAACATAATTACTCAGTTGCAGTAATTTGTTTCAAATGTTCTACAATTTTACTAAGTAACATATTTTGGTGTGAAACATTATCTGAAAAACCCTGTGCAAATCGATGCATCGATGTATGCTCTTCGGTGCATCGAAAAATATCGACGTATATTTGCCACTGATATTCGTAAAGAGCGAAATACACCACACAAGCGGTTTGACAAACCAAGCGAAATTTCCCTTTGCTTCAAGCCATTTGTGCTGTGTATGGGGGTGTTTGAAGGTTTGACGGCGGTTTGTCAAACCTTCAAACACCCCCATACACAGCACAAATGGCTTGAAGCAAAGGGAAATTTCGCTTGGTTTGTCAAACCGCTTGTGTGGTGTATTTCGCTCTTAACTGCACGTCTATACCCGCGCTCTGGCGCTCGCATACGAACTATCAGTTTTATCGCATGCGTAATCTTATCGCTCGGCTGTGCTCGGCTCAAAATTTCCGGACGGGAGGATGTGTGTGTTATAAAACTTACATTTTTGTTCCAATGTAACTCATCTCTTACTACCGAACTAGTACAGTTAGGTGAACTATAGTTCAATAAGGTGAACGAACAAAGAATCAGAAGAGCTAATTCATTGAGCTGAATGAACTAGAAGTGGGCTAATCTTTAAAGTGGACCCAAAAATCCAACTCTAATTTATATGTAAAAAAAACTTTTAGAATTTAAAACATTGCTGTAGTTTTGCTTTCAGTCCGATTTTTCGATCAATTTAGTACTGGATCGATTTTCAGAAGTCCGAACGCTGGCATAGGGTGCCTCATAGTACATATGAATGAATGTGAATTTGAGAATTTGTGTGCATCAATGATATACGACTAGTTTTAGTTCTACCATATAAACATAACAAATTTACCAGAATTAAGTTGTATATTAGAAAAAATAACACATTTGAATTCATATTTCTTGGAAACAAAAATATTAATAGTAAAATTGTGCATTCCGATTTTCTAAAGACCGCCCTGTAAAGCGACACTAAACATAGCCATTTATTCGAGCATTTGCAAAAGAGAATGGCGATAATCGATGCAACTCTGTAGGCGAAAATTTGGAAGAAGTGGCTGAAATTAGAACTGGGATACTATTGATAGTACCGCCCCTCGATAGTTGAAAACATCGATAGTACTATCGTCGTGAAAGGTATTGAATTGACAAGCTCAGTTGCTTGAAAATTAAATTATTAATAAATTTATAAAATTTATAAATTATTTTGTAAATTAAAGAGATTGTATAATTTTTTTTTTTTATTTGAGTGCATGAATCAAACTTATTAATTTATGCGTCTGAATTATATAACTTATATACATACACTTGCATCCCCTTACACAGCGACAGGCAAAATCTGAATATATTTTTTATATGGCAAAATTAAATTCGTATTTTGTTTGTCCCTTTTGAAGTGCAAAGAAGTGAAATTGGCTATAAAAATACATTCATGATACTACAAAAAAAATAAAATAAAAGTAAAAGACATTCGTTTAAATTGAAAACTCACTGTTATAAAAGTTCAACTGAGACCAAATACGGAGGCGCATATCAAAATCCGGACAAGGGAAATTATTAACATTTTACCATATATAAGAAAACGAATATAGTACTGCTCAAAATAAAAGCACAACAACATTTTTTAGCACTTTTGACTCTTTTTTTGTTTATTTGGTGTCTACTAACTTTATATAAAAGTTGTACAAAACATAAAAAACTACAAAACAATCAAAAATTCAGGCGTTTTAATTCGAATTTCCATAAAAATTTTGTGTAAGCAGTTTTATAGCTTATTAAATTTTACTATAACTCAGTGTAAGCTTATAGTTGCTAAAAATCCAAATGACTTAAATTTTTTTTTGCCGACTGTGTTGTAAAATTTCTTGCTTAAAAAGAATTAATGTAATGTGATATACAGAAGACATTGTGAAGTTTTGCTAAAACCGACATCGATAGTTTTCAAAACCTATCGATAGTGGCGACAGTTGTCAACTATCGATACTATCGATAGTATCCCAGCTCTAGCAGAAATTGTGAAAATTTGTACGTGAAAAGATCAAAATTATCGCCGAGGTTGACGAAGTCGCAAAAGGAGCAAATATTTTTGGTAATTTGTGGCGTGAAAATAGTTAAAAATTGTGTGGAAATCTTCATTGAACAATGTTTGAGATACTGGACATTAAGAAAGAAATGAATTAATGTGTGCTGAAGCTTAAAAAATGTGAAAATAAAATTATGAATGTTGGGAGTACATAGAGAAAATAGTCACAAGCAATTATAATAGAAAGAGGGGCGAACAAGCTGGAATGCAAAGTGCAGCAGAGGCAGAGCGTACGCCAGCGGAGCCCCAAACCCCAACCTCAAAATTATACGAGTAGAGATTACTTGGTCGGTCGGTTAATGTGTTGCGAAAAAGTCGAATAATTGCGAGGAGTGGCGGCGCCCGCTACGAATAGATGAGCTAGTTACGCGCAAAACGCACAAAGCCGAAGGACAGAATGTCTGTAACAATTCTCCAAGTAAAAAAAATATACTTATATATATGTATATCTATGTGAAAGTTATATGTAGTGACTAAAACAATTGTGCTAGTTGAAAGTGTACGTATGCCGCAGAAGAAAAGCATACCAAAAAGAGTTAGTGAAAATGGGCCAAGAAAAAAAAACTACCAGTTTTCAGTAGCTTTAAAATATAACTTATTTTAAAGCAACGCATATTTTAAATACTTTATCCATTTTTAAACTATCATATTTCGAACAAACGAACATATTGGAGCACGTACATATGTACATACATAAATCTATCACATCTTTTTTATGCAACTCGGTTCTCCTTTTGTTCCAAATCTTTATCATGCATTCCCTTTTGTATTCTACTACGAGGTTTTTAAGCGGCTGTTGGATTTATGTCAGATTGGAAACAACTGCGATGCAACAATGCGGCTAGCAGACGCGTAGCAGAGACAGCAACGTCAGCGTCGACTTTGTCATTCATTACCTTGCTTCTGAAATATTATTAGTCCGCAATAAATTAAGCATGAATATGTACTACGTAAGCTCAGTGCGGAAAAAACTATTAATTAGATACATAGTTGTTATATAATAACGTTGTTGGCCACGAACGTTTGATAATTTTAAGGGCTACATTGTGCGACGCCGGCAGTGCTCTGCTGACAGCGCTGCCAGCGTATTGTGATCGCGTTCTTGCAGCAACATTTTTATTGTTGCGGCCCATTTTGCTGCGAGCGAATTCTGCTATGTATTGGGGGATATCTTCGGGAGCATTCGGCCCACTTTTGTAATCGGCCTTCTGTTCGGTATTAGGGCTGCCAAGTATCTTAGTACGATTTGTTTATGAATACGTTTGGTATTCATTGTATTGCTTTCAAAAGAACTCATATTTAAGCTGAAATTAGTCGAGAACGCAGAACGTATACTTAAACGCAGTCTGTATACGCAGAATTTTGTCGATTACTGGAGCCCTCAGTGTTGCTTACTACAGTGTTGCCACTCTTCAATGCCTTTTCATAAACTTACCCTTTCAACCACAATTTTTCGTGCTATAATAGATTGTAACTAAATATAGACTACTTAATTTTCAACAAAAACCTTATTTAATAGTAAATTTCAAATATTTTAAACATATTTCGAATAGGAACTTATAACTTTTTTACCATCTGCAAAACTGACGAAGTGGCAACCATCTAAAGAAGGAGAAATCAGCTGACACGGAAAAATCTAAATTCCGCAGATTTCTGCGCTACGGGCTACAACTACAGAAAAATTCTGCGGTGTTGAGTTTTCATTTACATGGCGCTTTGGTAAGACAGATCGTGTCAGCTGACTCGGGTTTACGTACCGCTAGGTTTACGTTCTTGACTAATTTCAGCTTTAGTAATTATTCTTTGACGTAGAAGGTTGAAAAGTTGTTAAGAAATGTTGATCTATGTATTTGTAACGAGTATTAATTCATGCATAATATACAAATCGTTCTAAAATCTGTAAAAATTAATTTTAAAAGAGTTCGCAGAATTTAGATAGATTCCGGGTGGTATGGAGGCTGATCGCTTTTTGGGCTGCGCAGTTGCTCTGTCGACGTTGCTATTTTTTCCTATTGACAAGTGTTCTGTTTTATTTCCATTAACGCTATTATATTTGATACAAAGTTTTTCCGTTGTTGATTTTATTGCCTATATTTTACCAACCGTAGATGGAATAATCATACAAAATATTTATTTATTTATTTATGAAGAACACGAAATAGAAACAAAATGTAATTTGTGCTACGATGAAATTTGATAAAGTATTCGATTTTCTGTTTGTGAAGGAAAAAGAAAAAGTAGTGGACAACGCACTACAAAAAATAGATCTAGCAGAAGTTGGATACGATCAAAATTACGGAGCATAAAACGAAAGGAACGAACGTTATAGCAGAAGCAAAGACATTTGGAGACGAAATAACAGAAAAATACTAAAAAGAAACAAACAAAAAGCACCAAAAAAGGTGGCACAATGCAGTGAAGTATGATAGAAGAAATACGATAAAGTAAAATTGTGAGGAAAAGCAGTGATGTGCAATAAAGGTGCTGGCGTAGTAATCGAAGCGAAAGGTAGTGAAATGTTTTTTTCCCCATTGCATTGTGCGTGCTTGCAGTGAAAGAAAGAAAACAGATAAAGCAGATATGTTAATTAAATCGAACAAAGTCAACAATTAATGGCACTTTAAAACAGCTAAAATACATAATAGCAAAAGAGGAAAAGTCCACAACAAAATCAATACTTTAACACAGTTTGAAAAGAAAACCAAGCGTGCTACAGAAAATCAATTTTCGTGTTTACTTTATTACAGCTATTGCGAAACCATTGCACATGTTTAATGTCCCATTATAAGAGCATATAAAAAAACATATACAATTTACGAAAGCGTAATATTGCATTAACAAAATTTAAAACTGTTGTGTGCGGATCGTAAAACAAGATCGTTGCATTGGGAAGTCGGATTATAATTCAGTTCTCGGTACAATTCAATTAAAAAATCTGCATAATACATACATCATCAGCTTCTTGGCGTGGCAGACATACTCGTTCTGCCTTTGATTGACTGGCAGACAGTCTGATTGGCAAGCAGACGGTCCAACAAATTTATTACAAAATTGGGCAGTGACCAATACGATTTGCCAGCCAAACCGACGTTCATATAACCACAGACGAGACAATTTAGATATAAAAACCTAAAACGTAAAAACATTCAAAATGACTTCACTGGACGTGCGTAACAATTCGGCGGTAATGAAACGAGCCGAACAACTAAAACGCTGGGAGGAATCGGACACAAATCGCCAACCTCCAACGCCACGTCCCGAGCGCGGACGTAAAATCAAATTCTCCTCTGGCTGTGTCTTTTTAGCCGCATGCATGTCCGGTGATAAGGAGGAAGTGCTAAAGTTGCTTGAAAATGGTGCCGATATTAATACAGCTAACGTTGATGGATTAACTGCCTTACATCAGGTGAGATACAACTTAAGTATTGTTTCCTTTCTTTTGTAAGAATATGCTTTTTGTTACAGAAATTAAGATTCAGATGCATAGCTAATACATATCGTCGTTTAAAGTACAAAAGCGCGTATCGTCATTCTGCAAAACCGCGTAACTTACATTTGCTGGCAAATATTGGATTTGCTCACACAAGCCCTTGGCTCAATCGTTATCTAGGTATTCGTTCTGAAATATACTAGCCAGAAATGTTATTGCTTTATAAAAAGAGAAACATTTTGAAATATGAGTGTTTTTACTATCTAGAAAATGATTTTTGCAACCTTACATAAGCGGGTTTGCATTATCTTGATACGCGGTTTTGTACTTTAAACGACGATATGTATTTTATCTATGACATATCGACACCTCCAAACCATACCATGCTAAGTCATTAGAGATTTAGGCAGACTTAGCATAGTAAGGTTTGGAGCCGTCGATATGTACATATGTTGTATGTATGTATATAGAACCCTTTGGTGCATATTCATAGTCGAAATAAAGTAGCTTCTAAAGTTGAAAGCAGCTTTTTTGGCATACATAAATTCTACTGAAAATTATGTCAGAAAGCTGCAACTTTGTAACTTTAGGAATACTCTTTTTTTGTATCTATAGAATTTGAAAAAAAAATAAATACTCATTCCCACCAGAAACGCTACATTTACATCCTAGACCAATGGATTTGCCCAGAGCAGCGTTAACGGTCGTTGTGGCTGAATGGTTAGAGGTGCATACTACCACTCCATAGGACCTGGGTTTCCCCCCTGGTCCGGGCAACATCTAAATTAAAAAAGCTTTTTCTAACAGCGGTCGCCCCTCCAGCGTAAAACTGTAGGTCCCTCCCCTTTGTGTTACAACCGGTGTTGCCAGATTTTATTTTGAAAAAAAAAAAAATTCCCAAGAAGAAACGGTATTTTAAACCAAAAACTGTAACTTTCAAAAACGAAGGGATTTTCAGAATGTTAAGGTTTTTTAACCGAACCCTTTTTATTCAAAGGAGGAAAAACTAGCTCTAGTGTCACTTAAAAATTAACTTAAAAAAATCAAAAGAGAAATGTGGACAACACTGTAATTTGTACTAGGAGGTAATTTAAAAAACTGTAAGCTTGTCTAAAAAACTGCGATATACATTTTAAACTGTGAAAATGGCAACATTGTTGACAACATCAAGACGCAGATCACAAGTAGGAGGTGGGTTCGGCCAAACACTCATCAAATTTGTAAGCGCCAAAATATTATCTATCTTTTGATAAAATTGCCATTTCCTAGCCAAACTATTTCTCGATGAGAACCAACTACTCAAAAATATTTCCGAACTAACGAGTACATGTATACATATGTACGTACATATATGCAAACACGTGAATGTGCCTATTGCGTCAATACAACTCAAGTTTATTTAAATATAAAAGAAATTCACACTGCCAAATAATAAAATCCACTAATAAACTGTAGACGTTCCTTTCGTTCGACTCTTTTGATTCGGCAGTGTATACCTACAACCCCATTGTCATCGCCGTCCAACCATAGGCTCTGGCGCGTTTGGATGCCACAAGGCACAACGTCAAATTAACAAATTCGTTTCTAAAGCAAACGGACGATTTACAAACCCACCAAAAATATGAGCTATTTTTAACTATGAAATTATTTCGCAGGCGCGCTTCTACGTATGTTTTTCGCAAATCATTTGCTTTTGCTATAGTGAAATACATACATATGTATATTATTTTTAATTTCGTTCATTAGCCGTATGTTTTGTTCAATTTACATAGCGTATGGCCTTTTTGTCCATCTATTAGTTTTCGGTTTTCTTTTTAATGCTGCCCTGCTGCTGTGCTCTTGCATTTGCATAGAGAATATGACGCTGCCGAAAGCCTAAAATCATGTGTAAGTGATTAAAAAGCAATGACGAATAGGGCACTGTCGACAGATTGCTGCAGTATATACAAATTTTTGGCTTGTCGAGATACACAAGGGGTTTGTTTGCTTGACTTCATACGATTGCAAAGTTTTTGTGGTGTTTTATCAGCGGTATAGCTAAGTCGTTTCACTTCAAAGACTCGTATGTTTAATTTGTCTTCAAAAGCGTTAAAATATAAAAAAAAAACCCAAAAATAATGCTTTTTAGGATCTCAATAGACGGTTTAAAAACAGTACAGTCATTGACCGAATGGGTACAATCCTTGAATGTCCTTGTATTGTCATCCATATATTCGCGTGATCATTATCGCCAGGCCGAAATTTTCATCGGTAAGCACGCTTCGGCATATCTTCAGCATTCTTCGGTGGGTACATCCAAGGATCGAGTGACCAAAACGCTGTACAAACTGCGAAAGTCAAATCGCCTAAGGAATTCATTAGCCTCTAAAGAGCACTATCTTACCATGGTCTTAGATCTGTAGATTACCGCTCTCATCAATCCTGATATGTTGATAGCAGAAAGTCTGCTCCTACTACTAATACCGGCAAAAACCATCAACAAAATTGTAATAGCAGATGAAAAGCTTCAGCTGGTGCGTGCGACCATCGTAATTCTGGCACAGTTAAGGTCTGAATACTGCAGTCAACTGTCCGCATACTTAACCAGATACGACGTCGAGCGGTGCCTCTCCCTTTATCCAACCTCGTCGAAACTGCACATTTTCTGAGCCCACCCTTACTTAGTTAAGCTTGAGGACAACGTTCTTACGATAGCCGGGTAAACGTAACAAGCACGACTCAGATTTATATCTCCCCAAAGGCTATCATTTCAGCAACATGCTCAAAAAGTGGGCCGCTTCAACAATAACAACCAACAAAAATAAGTCTTAAAACTCGGTCAATATTCTTTCCCGCTTTTCCTCGGTAACGCAATATGCACTTAGATAACTAACTTTTGGCTTAGCCGAATTTTCGAAAGGCTTCGACACTTTTTGCCACTCTATGCTAGTAGAAGACCTTCAAGCCTCCCAGTTTCTCTCACGCGTTACTTATTATCTAAATGTTCGACAATCGTCCGAAACATTTCAGAGGTTACACATCAAAACCACGAAAATGTTCTTCAGTTTAAAGAAAAGCTCACCAGGCGGAGCTTTTAATGCTTGAACAAAAAGTTGCAAGTAGCAGAACGTCTTCCTAGGTCAAAGGGCAGTTCTGCGAGCTACATTCAGGCAATTAACGGAATTACTCTCAAATCCTGAAAATTTTGTCATCGGAGACCTTCTGCTTTGACGTATTCACGGCCTGGATACTGCAGTAGGTAAAGCACCCATTGATCTGTACTTGACTCCAATATATCCAACGCATGATACCATACTAAATACATACATATGTATCCCTTTACATGCTGAGAAAAAAACTCCTTTCCTGGGTCTAAAGTTAGATGAGCTCCTCAGCAACACTTAATGGACTTAGTGATCTAAGCAGCTGATACAAAATAATTGAGGCATCCTCAATGTAGATACATATGTATGTATGTATATGGATATGTCCACTTGGAATTTTTGCGTATAAATCACCATGCTTTCTGTCCACCTTGACGATTATCAACAGACTTAAAATATAATATGCACAAAAATACATATTTAAAAATATTTGCAGGGGTAAATTGAAATGGCATTAACCTCTCTTTTTCAATGACATGACGACCACAATGTCAGTGTTTGCTGGCTGCTGGCTTTTACTTTAATAAGAAAACAAAATTATAATAAAATTAATATATCATCACACCACTACAAGGATAGCTGAGTAAATCACAGTTACGACATTGGCATTGATGAAATTAAAACAAATAATAATAAAAAAAACAAGGCGTTGAGTGGCGTTGCCGCCGCAAGTGGGCGGGTGATCACCCAATCGGTTGGTTGTGTGTCTGTTTGATGGTCGCTCGGAAAATTTGTGTGAAAAGTGGCTAAAAATTTCATTTTAGTATTGATATGTACATACATACATATGTCCTACATTTAGAAAATTATGGAGCAAATGGCTTGTTTTTTTGAACATTTTATATAATTAATAATTTGAATGCTAATGAACCCATAGAAAAATATATTTCTGGTTAAATTGTATGTGAATCTGTGACTTTTTTCCATATCTCTCCACTCAATTCCTTCAACTCAGTTTCATTCCACCTTTTTTTTTTTAATTACAAGATTAATGTTAACTAAATAAGCGAAATATTTCGACCTTGTTAAACCTAACTTATAAATATGGCAATAAATGAAATATTTAAATTTATTTAAAAATTACCAGTACAACTAAATTCTTTTTCCTCCATTTTCCAATACTACAAAGTCCTTATCGTGGCACACACACAGTTTACTAAGCCGCTTTTAAACAACGCTCGTAAGCCTCTTTACAATTTTTTCTATATGATTTTGTCTATTTGCTTTTTGACAAACCGAAAAAAATGCAGCTGAAAAAAGCAAATAAAAAAACAACAACAATAAATGTTTGTTGACGTGTTTAGTAGCCTTGGCCTCGTTCTAGGCGATTTTCTATCACAAATCAAACATTTCACAGGAGGCAAATGCTGCGGCTAGCGGCAATGCAACAACAACAACGATCTTGGCAACGGCAATAACAACGAAAAAATATCGCGAAAAAATAATGTAGTTTCATTTGAACTTAATTTGATTTTAATTTTTTTGCGTTTGCTTGTTTTGCTGTATTTTTTCGTTAATACTTTAGTTTATATAATTTATAGTGTAATTGTGTTACAAATTGCTCCAAGCTTTTTGCACTTTGTTTTTGCAAAAAAAAAAAAAAAATGAAACAGAACTGAGAAAAATACTAAATTGCGCTGATTTATATACTTATGTGTGTACATTTGTGACCGGTACTCAAAGTTTTGCCATGGGTTATGTTTAAATACCGAGTATCTCGGGCTTCTACAACTTTCAGATGAGCTGCAGCGGAGACTTCGGCTTTTATATCGATTGTAACTTTGTAGAGCCTCTCGATTTTATTCTGGAATTAATTACTCCTCCTTTATTTAT